TAAATTCACTAGCTAAGATATATTACTTTTATATATTTTAGAGATTATACAAATGATACTTTTGTTATGATACTTATGCTAATTTTGCTATAATCTAAATATTACTTTAGCTAGTATCATAATTATGATAGCATTGTTAGTTTTGCTATGATAATTTTGCTAACTTTGCACTTTGCTATGATAATTTTGCCATGATCATCATATTTGCAAAATCTTCTAAAAATATCTATGAATAATATTCTCTAAAGCTAATGTTCAATAAGATATAAAGAATTATTCATCTAATTATATTGTGATATGAAATAATCAATTAACTAATTTCTACTAAAAGTTCATATCATAATAATATGTATAATATTTAGGTAAAGTTTTTGTCTTCTTTTTAATGATCTTATCATAATTATAAATTAAAGATAATCTTTTATATAGTAATTAATATTACTAGATTACTAATATAAATTAGATAACTTTCAGAAGTTATAACTTGAAAAAAAAAGAAAATTCAAAAAAAAATTTAGCCAAATTATAATCTGATTAAAAAGCTATATTTTAATTAAAAAAATTTTTTATCTCACCTTTCATTCCTAACTTATATTAATTTGCATAACATTATCAAAATAGATAGTTTATATTATTTCTTACTATAAAACTATCTTATTCTTATTTAAAGTTTTTAAAAAAATAAAGCTAATTTAAAGAAAAAAAATAAAAAAAAAGAGTTTATTTATCTATTCTTGTAAAGAAAACAAAAATTTATAATAATATTTAAAGATTTAATATTATAAAAAGCTAATATTACTATTATTTAACTTATTAAAATCTTACCAAAATAAAAAATTTAAATATTAAAAGAAATAAGAAAAAAATTACAGAAAAAATTAAATAAAAAGTAATATTTACTTAAATAATTAAAATTATCTTGATCTAATATAAAGCTAAGATTAGTAAAACTTCTATTAATCTAATTATTAATACTAAAGTATTTGAATATATTATCAACTATAAATTCTTAAATAACTTGAAATGAAGCTTTATTAAATTATAATAATAAAATAATATATTTATAATATTATAAGCTTAAGAATTTATAATTTTATTAATAATAATTACTATAAATTTTTCTTGAAACTTAGTTTATAATACTTAAATATGATTCTCAAATAAGTTAGATAAATATTTATAATACAAAGTATTAATAATAAAAATAGTACTATCTTCATAATAATAAGTTTTCAAAAATAATTAAAATTTATTAATTTTTTCAAGAAAAATATTTACATTAATTCATATCTTAAAAACTCATTTATTATAGATTTTTTGATCTCTGTAGCTCATATAACTATTTGTATATCTTGTTATTATTTATATCATTTATTTTTAATATATTTATTTTTCTTTTTTTGATATAATAAAAAAAATATTTTAGCATAAAAGTCATCAGGATATTTTTATATATGAGATGCTATTGTGATTTTTTTATTGGATTGTATTTGACATGTTATAGTTAGAAAGAGGTAAAATGTGTACTATAAAGTCCTGATAATAAGCAATCCTCTACATCATCATTTTTGAGGTTAGTTTTTAGGGGAGTAATATAAATATAATATTTTATAACTTATCAGATTTGTGATCATTTTGGTTACTGGTTAACTGCTATATATTAAAAATTACTATCGCAAATAGGGATTGCTTATTCAACTTTTCTAAGACTTTTGGATTTGAAGAGAGGAGATTGCTTATTATCGGAACTTTACGGTAATCTGAATAAATACCCCTGTTATATGCACACTGATGCATGCATGACAAAAATAGTAATATTTAAATTCTGATAGTGCTACCCTAGATGAAAAAAAATTTTGAAAACTTGATTATCCTAAAATTTGTTTTCAAATTTTTCCGCGATAGTAGTTGCTGTTTACTTTCACGCTTAATGATGATTTCGCAATACAAGCTATCATTTATTGCAGGGGAGAAATACTTTACGTCAACTCCTACGAATGATTGGTCATATTCTGGATATCTCGAGGCCATAGAGCCTTATTTCAGTAACCGCGCTAAAATAAGCACATTGAAAATCGACGTGGAAGAAGCGTTTTAATGACCATCTGAGAGATCTCGAAAAAGATGAAATTGATGAGAGACGTGAAGTTGCATCTGCTCTTATTAGGATGGTCAGTAATTATTTTGAAAAAAAATTAGTTGCTAGCAATTCTTGCTAGTTGTAGTTGTACCACTGGGAGCAGGTAGCGTCCCTGTTAACTCCTGGAGTTAGGTAGCGTTCCTCGGTGCAATGCAGAGTGCTGGTTACCATTGGGAGCAGGTAGCGTTTCTGTTAACTCCTGGCGTTAGGTAGCGTCCTCGGTATAATGTATGACAAGCACCAACTTTAAAATTATAAACAAAATAAAGTTAGCAAATAATTAATTTTTTTTATTTGAGGATTCAAATGCCACTGATTTCTGGGACCAATTTGAAAAGAAACGAGCTCTAAAACAACAACAGGTATATAACGATTAGTGGATACGTTTCAATCGTTAATTCATCTAATACTGTTGTATATTGTTAAACAGTATGATACAAATGTCGACATACAATTAAATACTCTAAAAGTGATGAGCACTGCTTCATCGTATCAGAGGAATGAATTATCCAAACAAATGGAAATTTCAGGTGACAATGATAAAAATCTGGTAAGATTATGAATATTACTAATATACAATTCTTTAAGAGTAGTTTACAATATACTTTTCTTTTATAGAAACGTCAAAATGATGACTATATTGAGAAAGAAAATTCAAAATCTTGTAAAGTTGAGGATAGCGGTGTGAAGAAGCAGGAAAAAGAAAAAGGGAATAATTTGGTAGGTATTGCGATCCTTTATTTACGTTGTGTGGACATAGAAATATCTAAACAATTAAAATGAATTTTACAGAATGATAACGATCACAGTCAGGTTAAAAATCTCCTAAACGAGTTGCGTAGTTCAGAAAAAATGAAAATTTAGTGGCATGTTTTCAAAAATATTGTAACGAATCTGTCAATGAATTAACTAAGAACGAAATTATGGATCTTACTCCGTCTTCGGCGTTTGTACTAAGATATACGGATGAAGATGACTACATGCAAGTTCTAAAAGAGACCTTTGAGTCTGTTGATGAGTTATTTCCAGAAAGCACAATTAAGTTCCTTAATGAGTTTTTTTCAGAGGTATTGTTTTATACTATCCAGTGGTAATTTGTCTCTTTGCTTGTCAATTACATCATCGCTATTTATATCTTGGCAGACTTGTACTCACGAACAATGGGATGATAAGTTAGAAAGCTTATTAGAACCGGAAGAAGATCAATTTTTAAAAAAATTGAAAAGATTATTATTCGAAACGTTACCCATCTTGTAAGTAACTTTTATTATTCTCAGTTAAAACCACTATTTATTGACATTTTTATTTGTCTTTTAGCTTTGATGCATTTTCAATGCTCTATGATAATCACAATATGTTGGAAGAAGAGTACATGAACACATACATCCATCCCGTTCTAAAGAAGGCTTTGCGCAGGTTTTCGAATATTCGTTATATACAGTAAGTATTATTCCTAACAATATTTTTTATATTATTTATATTATTGTGTTAAGTTTTGATTTTTTTTATAGAGGTAACAAGGCTGTTCAAGCGTCTGCGTATAGGAAACTAGTAATGAAGCAAGAGGGATGTGCAGATCGTTCAGACGGCCTCGCTTACATTACTACCGAAAAACAATATGAAATATGTGTTATAGAAGGATCTAGACCATATGTCGTTGATGACACGAAAGAAATGTCTGATTTTGTTCAGAAAATATCGGCTCTTCGAAATCGAAACATGCGAAATTCCAACAGACCTGGAAGGCGTTGATTTATTTCCATCTTTTTTTAAGGCAGTTGTGACTTGGGCTGTAAGTAATATAACTATTTGTTATTTCATCTATCGTTTTTTTACCGTGTAGTTGACGGTTAGGGACACCGATCAAGAGTTCCGAACGGTGAGAAACAGAAGGAGTGCGCGCTATAGTAACGCTCATAATTTGCGAGTTCTTTCGGAAATAAGTCATAACAAGCCTCGTACAAGCAATACAAGGAAAAAGATAATATAAGCGAAGTATAATAAATGATAAAGACAACATCAATCTTGTCATTATTACATTCGCAATTTTCATAATATGGTGTGAGCGGCCTAAAGACATCAAATACTTCTATTCAAATAGCTGGTATTATTCATAATCTACGCAAAGAAATTATCACATTTAACCAACAAAGATCACATTACATCTGACAATCAAGAACTAATATCCCAATTAATATTCCAGTTAGAACATCCATATCAGTTCTTTCTCAAAGAAATCAAGAAGACATGGATGTCATACAAGCTTTAGCTCAAGCATTAGATCTACTGATAATTGCAATGCAGAATTAGCAGAATTGACAAGTTGAGTTATTAACAGTATCACTTTCTTTTTATAATGATAGGGCATATGAAGATTTTATAAATTGAATTGAAGAATTTGAATGATTAGCAAATGCTAACAATATAATAAATGAAAGAAAATTAAAATAATATTTGCATATTTGAGAGAAAGTGCATTTACTTAGTTTTAACAAAGAAAGCTAGCAAATGATAATTGATTTACTAGTTGAAATGGTAATAATGATAATATCTTATTTTATTAAATCTTTATTATTTAATTTAGAATAAATATTCAAGTCTTGGCATGATAATAATAATTAAGATTGAGAATGCAAGAAGTAAATGAAGATATAACTTCATATGCAGAAGATATTTGCATATTATTTCAAAAAATTGATTCAATACATATATATTCAGTTATTTATTATATTGAGCAATCTGTAAAAGACTTGAAATCAGAAATTATCTTTCATTTAATTCAGATATTTTAAAAGTAACAATCACAAAAGTAATCAGCACTGATAAATATATCAGAATTTTCTTAATTTTATATCTTTTATATCACAAAATCTTGATATTCTCTTCACTATTTCAAATCTTATAAATGACATAAGTAAAGTTATAGTTAATCTTACAGAATAGATGAAGAAGTTGTCAATTCAGAATAATCAAAACAAGACTTATTATAATTATGATAAAAATGGTCATATAACTCATAATTATACATTATCAAGAAAAAATACAAATAATAATAATAATAATAATAACAATATCTTAAATATTAAGTATTTCAAATATAATAAAATGAATACTATATTAATAGTTATACAGAAAGAAATGCAAATATCAAATAACTAGTTAATCTTGAAATTAATATCATAATCATAATTTCAGATAATAATCTTTTGTTATAATAATTATAATAACTTCTTGATAAATAATCTATTATATCTTCATCTCCTAATACCATTACTAATAATAATACTATGTATTTAAACTAGAGTTTATATCTGAGAAAAATCAAAGTATGAGTCAATCATAAAAATCTTCAACAATATTTTTATAATAGGTACTGATCAAAATCATAAAGAAAAAAAAGAATAGAAAAGTAATAAATGCAATCCACTATGAATAAAAAGTAGAAGACTAACTTATAAGAATAATAATTGATGATGAATCAGTTAGCAATATCATGTCAACTAGATTTTTAAAGCAAATAGGCAGAAAGATTGATATATTAGTCTCATTAGAATAAATAAAAAGCCAGAATGATCACTAGAAAAAATAGAATAAAAATTAGAAATCTTAGTCAAAAAATAGATGTTCTGATCATGAAAAAAGCAGAATATGATCTATTACTTGATAATTAATGGACAAAATAATTCAAAGCTATCCTGAATTAGGATAATAAATTCTTAAGCTTTGAGATAATAAAAGAGTTTATAATTATCCCAGTTACTTATACTCAGTAAAGATCAATCATGAAATTGATTAGTCTCAAAAGAGAACTGAAAGATCCTGTTTCTGATAATGAAGATAATAAGTTTGAATATAAAGAAGAAGAATTGATTGACTAGTTCTTATATATAGTATACAAAAAATAAAATAAGCAACTTGTAATAAAGTGAAAGTTCAAGAAAACTTTATAAAAATCAATGATCAAGTTATTAAACAGAAAAAAAAGAAAGAATTCAATGAGAAAGATTAGAAAATTATAATACTTGCATTCATGACAGAGAAGAATATGAATATTCTCAATATAAAAAAGAACAAAGTATATATAATCAATTGGAAATACTATTTTAATTATCACTAAATATCATTTCAACAATGATCAAGTCAAACTTGAATTCAGAATAATAATAATATTTATATCAAGTTTTAGATTTGTTTCAAAATCTTTTTAACATAATCCAGCCTAACAAAACTAATATACTTCAATATAAAATATATTTGAAAGAAGAAAGATTCATTACTCTCCACCTATATCATTATAAATTACTCATGAAAAATGCTTTTTTGAAAGAAAAAATTCAGAAAATATTAGACAATAATATAATTTCTTCTTCTAATAATTCTTGATTTGTATTAATAGTAATAATGAGAAAAAAGAATAGGAAATTCCAATTATATATAGATTACAAAAAGTTAAATGAAGTAACAAAAAAGAATTAATATCTCTTATCATAAATTGATAAACTCTTAGACTTCTTTAAAAATACCAAATACTTTACTACTATAAATCTTGCTAACAGATTTTGGCAAGTAGAAATGCATTCAAGAGACTGAGAAAAGATTGCATTTATTATTAATGAGAATCTATTTTACTTTAATGTAATGCTATTTGAACTTACAAATACTCTAACTACTTTCTAAAGACTTATGAATAAAATCTTTAAGAAGTATATTAGGAAATTTATAGTCATATATCTAGATAATATAACTATATATTCTGAAACTTGAAAAGAATATTTAGTTTATATATAAAAAGCTCTGAAAAAGTTTTAATAGATAAATCTAAAGCTCTAATCAGATAAATATATTTTTAGAAAAAACTAACTATCCTTTCTAGATTATATTATTGACAAAGATAGAAAAAGTATAGAAATTCTCAGTATTTATCAATATTATATCATTAAGAGAATTTGTTGAACTTGTCTCTTATTATAGGAAATTCATCAAGAATTTTGTTAAGATAGCAGCTCTTTTACATAAATTATTCAAAAAGAATAAAGAGTTTGAATAGATAGAAAAATAACAAATAGCTTTTGAATTGCTCAAGAAATATTTAATCTCACTATTAATTATCATATATCTAAACTTTACAAAGCTATTCACACTTTTTACTAATATTTTCAGACTAGAATTAGATATTATACTAGCATAATATAACAGTAAAAAAAGGAATATATAATTATCTATACTAGTAGAAGAGTTAATAAGAAAGAAAGCAAATATACTATAACAAAGCTAGAATATCTTAAAGTAATTTGAATAGTTAAATTATTTAGATCTTATCTACTATTAGATATTCTATTTATATTAATCACTAATTACTCAGTACTTAAGTGGTTAATTAATAAATTAAATTCTTTTAAAAGACTCACATATTAGATAATGACTTTATGAAAGTATAATTTTAAAGTTAAATATAAATCTGATAGAATCTATTCTAATATTGATTCACTTTCTAGAATATTACACATACCTAAAAAAGAAAAAAACAGAATATAAATTTGGATAACTATATAAAATTATATAATTATCTTAATATACTAATAATACCTAACAAATTCTCAAAAAAAAAATGAAAATAGCTACTGGCAGAATCAAAAAAATATTTTATACAAAATAATAAATTATATAAAAGAAATAAATAAAATATTAATTATCTATTATTAATTGTAAAATTAATAAAAATAGAGTTAATACTTCATAATAATCATTCAGATATTATATCTGAATACTTTAAAATTGAGATTACTTATAATCAAATAATAAGAAGCTATTATTGATCTCAGATATATAAAGATATAAATGCATATATTAAAGTCTATGATATATATTAACAAAAAGAATGATTATACAAGAATAATAAAATAATATTAATTCAAGTAAATATATCTTTTGAAAAGATTGAAATTAATCTGATAGAAACTTTTTCAGTAATTAATAATAGAAATCACTATATTATAATCATTATTAACTATTTAACTAAATAGACTGAAGCAAGATTTATTACAGATACTTCTGCAATTTTAATCATTCCATTCCTTTATGAAAATATAGTGATAAAATATAAATTTTCAAAAAAAAATACTAAGTGATAGAGAAACTATATTCATTAATAAAATAATTAAAGAATTACTAAATAAATATTAAATCAAATATAGACTTTTGCTTTTTATCATTTTTAAATCAATAGACTAGTTGAAAGATTAAACTGAATTTTATATATTTTATTATCTAAATATGTTTAGTTCTATAAGAAAGATTAGGATTATTATCTATCTTTAATTCTATTTATTTACAGAATAATGAAATAAAGTATAACTTTATTTGAATCTTTTTAACTGATATATAATTAACAAGCAATCACATTACTGAATATTAAACTAAAAGATTTTAATAGTTTCACTTTTGAAGAAATTCTCATTAAAAGAATATGTGAATTAATCAACAAATTAGAAATTATATAAGAACTAGCTCTTAGTAATATTCAAGAAAAATAATCAAAACAAAAAGAATAATATGACAAGAAATAAAAGTTAATAATTTTCCAGATAAAACAGAAAGTATTGATGAAATAAATGGAAACTTAATATTAGTATCATAATAAGTTTGATAAAAAATAGAAAAAACTATTCTATATTCATGAAGTATATAATAAAGAAGCTTATAAACTTAGAAATAAAGATAAAAAAGTCTTGAAGAATCTATATTATTACCATTTTAAGATTATACATATGTAATTATTTTAAAATGGTAATAGTAACTATATTCATGATAGTTGTTTACTTTTATAGCTTCAAGAGATTATATGACTAATTATCTTTTCAATAAAATAATGTATGCAAGATTTATCTCTGACAAAAATATGATTATCTTCTCAATAAGATAGTTTATATGTGTTTTACTTATAACAAAATATGATTATCTTCTCAATAAAATAATATACATGAATTTTACTTATAATAAAATGCTTTCTCAATAGAGCAAGAAGAAAATAAGATAAGATATAAGATAAAATATATGTATTTATTAAAGAA